GAGCGGTACCTATTTATCTACTTGCACTTTGATGTGCTTTCGAACTGCTAGGTTGGCAGGAGCTGGGACCGAACAACAGGAGCTCACCCCGTCGCAGGGATTCGAACCGCCAACCTTCTGATCAGCAAGCCCTGGGCTCTGTGGTTTAGACCACAGTGCTACCTGCGCCCCAAGTTGTTGCAGGGCTCTAGGTAAATGTTTCACTGTCTTTGGCTATTGCAATTACATTTACATTAGATTCACTGATCAGAAATACAACCACTTGCCCACCAAGACCAGTAGCCAACTTCTGTGAAAATGGATCTAGATATCATTTTTTTTCTGAATACCAGAGCAGGGAAACACCGCTAAAATGTAATAACTGCAGTGCAGTATTGTGGTCAATCACACATATTTTGCTTGATACTTCTATGCACAAAACCCCAAAATATTTGGCAAAGTATTTCATTTCAAATTGTGCTTGGTGCATGTTGGTTGAGCAATGTGGGGATGCTGTCAGTGTAAACTGTTAATCAAGCATTCTGAAATGATCAGTCAGAAACTATGCATGAGTGTCTCAATTTGCATTCAGTATGTGTCCAATATGTATTTTATTAAGGATGCTGAAATCCATCTGTTCTTAATTCTAAGCCACTTGGAGCAGGCTGTAGTTCAGCACTAAAGGAACAACAGTCTGTACATGCTCAGAAGTACCTTTATCTAACCTTACTTCACATCTGTCCCATTATATATGATCATTTACTGATGTGAAATCAATGAGGACTTGAAACAATCCATTTCTATGCCAGGACCTTATTGAATGCCTTTTCCAAGAAGATCCATCAAGAGACATTCCTCTGTGAAACGATGAAAACTAATATTTTCTTTGGGGCTGCTTTTCCCTTAGGAGATCATTTTGGGTTCAGATATAACATCGCTGGGGGGGGGGAATGCAACCCAAATAGGTGAACCGCCCAAGATGCTGAAAAAATAGGTTTGTGATCATCACTAGAGAGCAAACTCTGATTTGTACAAACCATAGTTTGCTGGGGTTGGACAAAACATAAAAAACAATGGTTTGTTGAAGCTGGTCTGTGGAAAAACTCATCAATATACAGTATTTTCTAGGAAACTACAGGATAAATACTCTTGTGCACCACCCTGATGTCCGAGATGTGCAAGATTTCAGAGGTTCCATGGTTTGGATTCCTCGGAATGAGGGACATCAATGACTGCGGTGTCTTTGTGATATATGGCTTATTTGCACATATATCCTACCTGATGATGGAGGGGCTCACAGCACTAACATCCCCAGAAGGTCTTCCTTCTCCCTTAGCTATATATATCCTTGGATTCAAGCAGAAATCAAGCATGTCTCTCCCTCCCAGGCTTCTGCCTTTAGCCTGCTTCTGGCTCCCCTCTCTCACACAACTCTGCTCTGGCTTTTGTCCTTTTAACTACTAGCTAGTTTGGGGGGAGGCAGTGAGAGATTTTACTTTCTTGGGCTCCATGATCACTGCAGATGGTGACAGCAGCCACGAAATTAAAAGACGCCTGCTTCTTGGGAGAAGGGCAATGACAGGCCTAGACAGCATCTTGAGAAGTAGAGATGTCACCTTGCCAACAAAGGTCCGTATAGTTAAAGCCATGGTTTTCCCAGTAGTGATGTATGGAAGTGAGAGCTGGACCATAAAGAAGGCTGATCGCCGAAGAATTGATGCTTTTGAATTATGGTGCTGGAGGAGACTCTTGAGAGTCCCATGGACTGCAAGAAGATCAAACGCATCCATTCTTAAGGAAATCAGCCCTGAGTGCTCACTGGAAGGACAGATCGTGAAGCTGAGGCTCCAGTACTTTGGCCACCTCATGAGAAGAGAAGACTTCCTGGAGAAGACACTGATGCTGGGAAAGATGGAGGGCACAAGGAGAAGGGAGCGACAGAGGACGAGATGGTTGGATAGTGTTTTCGAGGTTACCAGCATGAGTTTGACCAAACTACGGGAGGTAGTGGAGGACAGAGGTGCCTGGCGTGCTCTGGTCCATGGGGTCACAAAGAGTCGGACACGACTAAACGACTAAACAACAACAACAACAAAGTTTGGGGGGGGGGGAGTTGTCATCTGGCACAGAGCCACTTCCTTTGTTACCTTAACAGCCCATACTTAGGGTCCATTAATTCACCAATAAGCTATTCCAACAATTGAATCCTTGCTGGATCCAAGAATTAGAAGGCATACGGCCTAACCCACAACCCCCCAAAAACTCACAACAATACAGATGTTGGCTAACCAACTGCGGAAGAGCGCTATATGCAGAATAAATGGGACTGTGTACACAGCCTTAAAGCCAAGGATGCTGAACTTTCTCCATATTTGGGTGTCTATCAAAAGAACCAACACTTGAATAGTCTGGGATTTGGAAGGAGGCGCTCTCTATATGAAGTCAGCTCCTGCTTTTGGTTGTTATTCCTTTCCTTGCCCTCTCGGATTTTCTCGAAGGCTCACGCATTCCTTGCCAACCTCACATTTCTTAGGGGGGGGGGGAGAAAAGTCTAAAGAAGCCGTGGCAAGGACGGAGGGGAATATGAAAAACATTATTTCCGCGCTCTGCCGAGTTCCAACAGAAACAGCCATTTATTTTGTCCGCGTGTTTTAACCAAAAGGATTCTGGCAGAAGTCAGGGTAGGTTTCCTTTTCGTGAGGGGGGTTTTCCTTTGGGCAAAAGGCAGTCAGTGCAGGGAAGCAGAAAAGTCAAATCTCGGAGAATGAAGATCTAGAAAAGAGGCTACTAGAACTAGCAATTACTTCTCCTCGCCGCACACCAAGTCTGGCCTGTTGGCAAATTTGTGCCCCCACCTCAACAAAACTCCTTCCCGTGGCCAGGTGTGAGAGCCATTGTGGCATAATGGTTAAGAGTGTTAGACTAGGAGCTGGTTCAAATCCCCACTCAAGAAAAAGGTAGTATATAAAGGTAATAAATAAATAAATAAATAAATAAATAAGGCTGTATATATGTACCTATGGTTACGCATAGGTTCAGGGGTGATTGCTTACTTCTGTACTATTCACATGTGCATTATGTACCCTAGTGCACTCCATACTTTAGTTGCCAGATGTGCACTCAAAGAGTCAACTGTAGAGTTGGAAGGGTACCCTGAGGGTCCTCTAGTCCAACTCCCTCCAACGCAGAAACCTTTTTGCCCAATGTGGGATTCGAACCCATGAGCCTGAGAATAAGAGTCTCGTGTGCTGCTGGCTGAGCCAGTCAGTTCTCACGTGCAAGAAAGGTAGCCAGCTTCTCCCCATCTGTGTAGGGTGGCCATCCGCCCAGAATTTCCCAGACGTATCCAGAATACAGTGGTACCTCAGGTTACATACGCTTCAGGTTACATATGCTTCAGGTTAAAGACTCCGCTAACCCAGAAATAGTGCTTCAGGTTAAGAACTTTGCTTCAGGGTGAGAACAGAAATCGTGCTCCGGCAGCGTGGCAGCAGCAGGAGGCCCCATTAGCTAAAGTGGTGCTTCAGGTTAAGAACAGTTTCAGGTTAAGAACAGACCTCCGGAACAAATTAAATTACTTAACCTGAGGTTCCACTGTACTGCAGTCAGCAGTATGGGAGAATCCGGACTTAAGGTAGCCATGTCGGCAGTGCCAATTTTGCAAAAAAAAACACACGCTCCACAACTTTACTGTCCGGATTTTCACCTTTTGAAATATGGCAACCCTACCTGTGGTCAATGGGACACGGGTGGCGCTGTGGGTTAAACCACAGAGCCTAGGACTTGCCGATCAGAAGGTCGGCAGTTCGAATCCCGGCAATGGGTGAGCTCCCATTGCTCGGTCCCTGCTCCTGCCAACCTAGCAGTTCAAAAGCACGTCAAAGTGCAAGTAGATAAATAGGTACCACTCCGGCGGAAAGGTAAACGGTGTTTCCGTGCGCTGCTCTGGTACGCCAGAAGCGGCTTGGTCATGCTGGCCACATGACCCGGAAGCTGTACGCCGGCTCCCTCGGCCAATAAACGAGATGAGCGCCGCAACCCCAGAGTCGGTCATGACTGGACCTAATGGTCAGGGGTCCCTGTACCTTTACCTGTGGTCATGTACAGGGACGCGGACTTATAAAAAATATTGGGGGGGCCCGGGAAAGCTCATGAATAATAAATAAGCTCATGAATATGCAAATAAAGTGGCGCCGCCTCCTCGTGAGCGAATAGGGGAGAGCGTGCTGCGCCTATTAATCAGCTCCAAAGGAAATTGGGTGGAGCTTTTGCTCGGGAGGGAGGGCAGGAGGCATGCAGCCCGCCCCTCCCTGTGCATTTTGGGCTGGGGGAGGGGCGGCGATGGCGCTCTGCTGGAGGGGCGCCGGAGATTATTGGGGGGGCGGAGCCCCCCCAAACGAATTTTTGAGGGGGCTCGGGCCCCCTCAAGCCCCATGGAGTCGGCGCCTATGGTCATGTACACAGGTAGTCTCATGGGGGTGTGTGCAAAGTTAGTGCGAAGTTTGCCAGTGTGGTGTAGCGGTTATAGTGTCATACCAGGACCAGTGAGATCAGAGTTCGAATCCCCACTCAACCAGGGGCTGGTCACTTCCACTCAGCTCAACGTACCTCACAGGGATGTTGTTGTGCAGATTAAACGAGGGCGAGAGCCTTGAAGAAGAAGGAGGGAAATAACTAAATAAATAAATAGGTTGGGGTATGTTGTAACACAGAAAGAGGCCGTGACCATGGCTGGACGTTTTTTCCAGCAGCTGCAACCATGGAAAGGTCAGCTGGGGTCCCTATGTAAAGTAAATTTGCCCCCCTTTGATACGAATATTTCAATTCACGCGTGTGAACGGCTCTTCCCGGATTAAGGCTGGGACTTTTCTCCAGCTGCTTCCCTTCGTCACCCCTTTCCACCCTCCCTCTCTTTTCCCTTATATGCGTTTGATTATTATTTTTCAAATTCTTTAAAAAAAAATAAAAATTTTCCCCCTCTGATGTATGCAACATTTACTGACAGGGCAACGTGACTTTTCACACCGGTTCTCCATGGGCTGGAGAAAAGCTCTCTCCAAAAAAAAACAACACCTCAGCTGGCAGATCAACTCGCGCGCTCCCCCTTTCTTGCCCGGGGCAGCCTTAGGGAGATCTCCTCCTCCTGTCGCTCCATCCCCAAGGCGCCAGGATCTTGCAACTTGGATCCCTCCACCTCCGGATCCTTCAAGCTCAGAGGGACTTCTTTGCGGGCGACCTTCCCTCCTCTCCTTGCCATGGCTCCAGCTCCTGCCAGATCTCCTGCCACTTTTGCCCAGGCTGTGGGATCCGCGCTCCTCTTCCTCCTCCTCCAAGACGCCTCTGTCGAAGCGGATGGTGAGTCCTGCTCAGACCTCGCTTGTCGCTCTCCTGCCATCCCCAGAGTGCTTAAGGGTTTGTGGATCGCTGCCGGGGGGAAGGGGGGGGGAATCGGGAGAAAGGATTTGCGAGATTCAAATACCGGTATCTCGCAGTCAACGTTGCACGTCGCCCAAAGCAAAAGTCTTTCAAAGGCTAAGATAGGATTGATCATGCAAAAGGGTTTGTTTGTTTTTTTAATGCCCTGTGGGAAAAGTCAATCAAAACTTTATAATGCAATTCTGCAGCAGGACTGATGCTAGATTTGGAAATGTTTCCCTACAGCTTTGGCTTTTGCACATCGATTTGCAAAAAGCATTTGGGATGCTGGTTTTTTGTTGTTGTTTTTTGAGGGGGGGGTTATTGCAGGGAAAGGGGGTGGAGACACAAATCAGTGTGTGGTACTGTTTACTCGCATTGCTTTTTGGAAGAAAGAGAAGGGGTCGCCTAGAAAAGCATGCACTGGATATTGAGATGCATTTATGAAAGTTTAAAAAAAAAAAACAAGGTCCAAATATTAGCAGCGTATTCCTCTTTAGGCTTTCTCCTGTCAGTTTCACCTCCTGTCTCTGCTGATATACTTGGGATAAGACTGAATGGAAGAAAAGGACCCACAATGTGATGGTGTTGCAGCCATTTAGATGGATCGGCATAATTTTCCCTCCCTCACACTCCCCAACCCCTATTAACGGTCCAGGCATATATATATATATCTTTTCATATTCAAACTGCCTAACGGATTCATTTACCGGTTGCTGTGTGATGTGAAGGGAGGGGAGGGGAGGATCCCACAGGGAAAGAGCAGAGTTTTTTGGCCAGAGCATTCACTGGGAAGGTGTGTGAATTTGAGGTTTGCTGAGGCTGAGTCCCTCGGACAGAAATGCAAATTCCTTTCCCTCGATTCTCCTTTTAATTTGACGGAACTGCACAGGGAAATTAGAATCAGTGGCAAGGCATGTCATGTTCACGTTTGGGAATTTCATTCTGCCACTCAAAATTGAGTGTGGGGTCTGAACTTTTGATGCCAAAGTCATCAGGTCTTTCGCCCCAACTCAACCGTTTACCAATTTTTAAAATCTATTTTAAAATCTGTTTCTATCTATTATTTATTTGTGGGTGGTGTGAATATATAGATATAGATATAACTAAGTAATTAGAAAAAAAATATCATGGTGGTGTAGATTAAAATCACCAAATTATAAAATATGGAACAACTGGCCAACGCTGAATCAAATTAATGATCTAAAAATGCTTGTTTTCAGTTGTTTAGTAGATACTGGTAGCTACTGATTAGCCCCAACTGACTTAAGGTCTTTCCAAACTTACCATTTATAGCAGAATAGTTCCTGCTTTTCTTGAATTTTGGGGTATGTTACTATACAAAGGCAGCATAATTCAGCTAGTATTCCAGAGCGATGTGCTCAAAAACTTTCTTTTTAGTCTACTGACTTTTGTGAACGATCTAGAATGGATCCTCAGAATTCTCCTTTGTGTACAAGCATCCTCCTCCTTTGAGTGGCGGTTGCAGGGTGGTTTGAGGAGTTTGGATTTGATATCCCACTTTATCACTACCCTAAGGAGTCTCAAAGCGGCTAACATTCTCCTTTCCCTTCCTCCCCCACAACAAACACTCTGTGAGGTGAGTGGGGCTGAGAGACTTCAGAGAAGTGTGACTAGCCCAAGGTCACCCAGCAGCTTCATGTGGAGGAGCGGAGATGCAAACCTGGTTCCCCAGATTACGAATCTACTGCTCTTAACCACTGCACCACACTGGCTCTCGGATTCAAAGACACTGGCTCAGTTGTCTTTGAGAGACAACTGATTCATGCCACTGTCAGCGAGGTGTCAGTTTATGAGCCCAGTTCAGAGGAGACATATGACAGATAGATATGGTACTCCTCATGCAGACAAAATGTCATCACAATAACCAGGCTTGCCATAGCTCAGGCAGACATCTAGTTCCTCTTCTAATCTCCTGTATCTCCACAAATGCAATAATGTGGAGCACAAGGCAGTAATTAATTTAAGAAATCACGAAAGGCCTATGTTTGTGCGCATGCTCATAACTCCAATATATCAGCCGAGGGAGCATGCGGGTGCATTAGGGGTGTCGCTACAGCCTTTTCTCAATTTGGGCGCAGACCACCATTGGTGCAGAAAGGGGCTTGGACTAGATGACCCTGGGTTCCCTTCCAACTCTACAATTCTGTGAGTCACTCTCTAATAATGGGAACATTAGGTGCAGACACTCCGTGACAAATTCACTCTTAAAAATGTCAGATCAAACAGCAACTAGAAATTGTGTTGGAAAGACCCTGAGTTTGATGTCCGAGTATGCTGTCGTCCAAGTTTTACAGAACTCTTGTCGGGTGGGGCAACTATAAGTTTTGAGGGGGGGCAATTATAAACAGGAAAATAACATGGTCTGAGTGTTCATCCCTCCTCCCAGTATAAACTGGGATTCCCCACAACTTTTGCTAACATAAAAATAAATAAATGATAGGTTATTTTCTTAAAGGTTCCGCCTCATCCTATCTAGTTTGGCCTTAGAGACAGACAGGAGTGCAAATTGCTACAAGTTGCTATATCTCTTGCCCTTTCTGACTGCTTAGTAATTTGCATTTCTGATGCTTAATACATGTTCTGCATGCTATGCCCAATACATGGAAGTAAATTCCCATAGAATCTGCCAAATAGATATGCTAAGAAACAGGACCAGTTGCAATCTGTCAATTTCAGTGGGGCTTTCTTGCATGTAAGCATGTTTTGGATTGCGACTTCTGGCTGCTGTCCTTATCGCATTTATTAGGGAGTAATTTTCATTGTATGCAATGACACACACTTAGGAGTTAGCGTGAATGGAAAAGGTGAAAGTACATTTCTAGATTCATAAAACTTTTCGTTTTAATATGTCCTTTTCTGATGAAGTCACAGCATGAATTCTTCTGTTACAACTGCAGTCTATAAGGCTGTATGCAAGAGACCAAGGACATCCTCCAAACTGAAAGGTTTTTATAAGCACAATGTGAGGTTTTTTTAATGGTATCTGTACAAGGATGAGACAGATGGGTTCTCTAAAGACTTATTTCTTCTTTCACTTATCGTGCTATAAAGTTTTATGGTAAGCCTTGGCTGACTCGCGGGAGGTTACTACAGAGTTGTTGGGGTATTTTTTTTAAAAAAAGAGTGTGAAATAAAATTGTAAGACTGTAAATTCTGTTCTCTTAGGACATTTATAGTGAAATGCCAGACTTTTGAATTTTTATGAATGGGCTTCACAGTCTTACTTCTGTGCAGGGGGATTTGTTTATGTACCCAAGACAATAAACGCATGTTAAGTCTTTTGAAGGTCATAAAAAGTTATTCCAATTATGTCATGACAGTCATAATTGTTCTGAGTCATATAAATTGCATATACTGTTCTGCCGGGGCAAATGGAATAATGAAACAAAGAGAAATAGAACCCGACTTTGAGAATCTAGGTGTAGTAGGTGGTTGTTGTAACTGTGCCGATACCAGAGAGAAAAACATGCATATCAGTTCATGCATATCACTGTGCGCAAACACACATTGACCCTGACAATCCATGAGGGTGTGTGAAGACATCTCTCACTGGGCTTGCCCCACTGCCAGCCACATCCTAAGTCTAGAAAAGGCACGCCACTAGAGACCCAGCAACTACACTGCAGTTTTAGGCACCTGAGTAGAAAAAAGGTTGTGGCATCTTGTTTCCCCCAGTCTCCTTTCAGCTCCCTTCCAACACCTCAGAGTGGTTGGGTGGTTGAAGCAGTAATCCCTGGTGAAAGGAGGTTGCATTTTAATGTTTTCATGTCGTATTTTAATATTGTTTTTAAGTTGTATTTCAATCGTTTTTATACCTGGTATCAGCCGCCCTGAGCCCGGTCTCGGCTGGGGAGGGCGGGGTATAAATAAAATTTTATAGTAGTAGTAGTAGTAAGTGCTACAATATTTCAGACCATCAGTTGTCTTGGGCAACCACCTTCCCCGGCTGCAGCCTATTGTAACGTTACCAGATTTTTTTCAATGAATCCAGTTAGTTAGTTAGTTAGTTAGTTACTACACGTTCAGGACATTGATGCTGCAATGGCGGTGGCAGAGGGGCGGCCGCCACCTTGACCTCAACTGCCACATTTCCCCTTCCTCCAAGGCTTCTATCTCCTTTCTCCATGAGCCTGGCCAGCCCCTGAGTTGTTGGTTGTTCAGTGGTGGTAGGGAAGCGGTGCGCAGTGGGTCAGGCATGGAAGGTGGAGAAGGAGGGCCAAGAGCGGCGGCAGCAAGGCTTGGGCAGCGCAATGCCTCCCTTCCCATCGGAGCAGCCCTAATCCCATTCCTACTTGTGTGCAAGTAGGAGGGGGCAGAGATCCCTCAGCTGGAAAGGGAGGCTTCCCCTTGCCTAACTGAGAGATCCCTGACCCCTCCTGCTTGTACACAAGTAGGAGTTGGGAGGCTGCTCCGATAGGCAGCATGAAGCCTCCCTTCACAGCTTAGTTGCTGGAGTCAGGGAAGGTGGAGGCAGCCCGGAAGCTGCCTCTTAGAGCCCCTGCACCACCATCATATGGGGACTTCCGAGCAGCTCCTGAAGCCAGCCAGAGCCAACTGCTCTGGGCTGCTGAGACTGCCGCTGCTGCATTTCCCGGGGACATCAGATGAAATCCGGGGACATTCCGGGGATGGAATTTGTCCAGGGACTTATTCACAAATCCGGGGACTGTTCCCGGGAAACATGGATGTCTGGTAACCCTAGCCTATTGGTTCTGGCCAGATCCTCTGAAAAGGAGTAATCTGGAGTTGTTTGGGGCCCCACCTTTGCCTTTTAACATTACATTTCAATGCACCTACCCAGACCAGCTCCATGGACTTAAAAAACAACCAAATTTATCTACCACTTGCCTTGTGATGTGTATGTATCAAAATGCATTCTGATGATATGCACTGTCCAGACTCTTTATATTTTTAAAAACAGCTTTCCTTTCATAAGCATATAACTTGGAAGAACATCTTTGCAATCTCATGCACAGGTTTCACCCTATTAATGTTCAGGCATCTTCTCTGTATGTTTCACTTCAGACAGATCACGCAAACCCACGCTGTCTTCAGCAGTATCCTGAGAAGTCTCTCTCTGCAGCCATTCTCCACACACACACACACACACACAAGCAGAAAATGCAGTTAGACCAAGTCATCTCATGTCATCACATGCTGCGCTGTGTCTTTGAATTGCAGGGAAATTGTTTGCCCTTGGTCCCAGGAACGGCTCCCAGAGTCTGGACTTAGCAATGGCTCAGGAATCATGCGGTGCAGTAGGAGCTCGATTAGCCAGCAGAGAAGAACTAAGGAGAGCCATAAGAGATTGTTCCTTTGCTGTGTGTACCAGGGGCTGGCTGGCAGATGGCACGGTCGGGTAAGGAGCATTAAAATAAATAATAATAAAGTTTAATTTATACCCCGCACTTCCCAGTTCAGAAAACCGGGCTCAGGGCAGCTAACAACAAATTTAAAACACTTAATTGATGCAACAAAAAACAGCATAAAATACAGTATAACATGTGAATAACAATAAATTCAGAATTAAAAAATCAATTTAGGGGGGGAAATCCATCCAATAAACATTAGATGATCACCAGGGCTAGATGGCTAAGTTAGTCCCACTTGGGCCAGCGAGGAGACCAGGGGAGAATTAACTGTGGGATCCCAGAGCGGGTAATCTTCATAAAAAGGCGGAGGGGGAGGGAAGGAAGGAATGGGAATAAAAGATCAGGCTAAGTTCAAATTAAAAGCCAGGTGGAATAGTTCTGTCTTACAGGCCCTGCGGAAGGAAGTTAAATGCTGCAGGGCCCTGGTCTCATGGGACAGAGCATTCCACCAGGTTGGAGCCATCACTGAGAAGGCCCTGGCCCTGGTGGAGGATAATCTGACTTCCTTAGGGCCCGGGACCTCTAAACTATGATTATTCGTGGACCTTAAGGTCCTCTGCGGGGCATACCAGGAGAGGCGGTGAAACCTCCTCTAACCAACACACATGACTTATCTCCAAATAACATGGTTGGGCTACTTTGTCAGGGGCAGACTTTGGCCTTCCAAATGTCAGCAGTGCCCTGTGTGAGGCCAGAATTCGACATGCCCCCCCACCCCCGGCCTCCTCTCACCTTTCATTCAGCTCAATTCACTACATCATAGTTGTAGGCTTGGCACCCAGCACAGTCACACAGCCCTAAATCCGCCTTTGATTTTGTAATAGTAGAACTAAGAAACACTGATTTTCAAGAGAGCATTTTGCAACTCAAGGTACCAGCCACTGCCCCCCCCCTCAGGATTTGTCTGAATGTTCAACCTTGCAAATTATGTTTAATATGGCCTATAAGCCCTATTTGCTTCCATTAGCCAGGTGCTTTATGAATTTGACTGTCAGATGTTAAAAACGAAAGGCGTTTGAAGTGCAACTGTACTTCAAAAGAAGGTACGTTGCTTCAAATGGGGGGGAATCTTTCTAACAGTACCCTGAGAGTTTTCACTTGCTTGGCATATCTCCCCTACCGCACTGAAAAAGCAAAACACTTTAGGCTACCACACTCTTCAATGATATATTTCCACTTACACATTCCAAAAGAGTCCTTGCAGATGCATTTATTTTTGGCTCTTATGTCCAAAGTGTCACCTCTCTGGCAAAATTCGATCGTGCTCGAAATTTAATAACCAGGGCAAAGATGGAGCTAAGCGGTATGACGCAGGATAAGACTCCCAATAAAGGAACTGGAAAAAATGATAATTTCATTATCTACCATATTAAAATGTGTTTCAATACCGCCATGCGTTGATGAACCTGGAGTCTTAGGGATCAAATCACGGGAGATCAGAATTCAGCACACGAGAGAGAGAATGACTTTTAAATGGGTAATTCCCTGGATGTCCGGATACAAGAGCGTAGGAGTGCGTAAGCACCTTTAATAGTTGCCATTGTTAAAGGTGCAGGAGTCATTTCCACTTTTGCATTTCCCCCCCAGTACATTTTTATTCAAATTACACAAAGAAAATATACAAATAAACATACCGATAAGCATATCAGTATACATATAAGTACATATTTACATAATTTATTATTTCCCTTCCCCAAATTATACAAAAAATCATGAAAAGAAAAAGAAAATCATAATATTCCGGGCTCTGCCGAGCCCTGGACTCCCCTCCACCCTTTTGGTAAGTATCAAATAAATTCCACAATCACGTATTTTGTTTTTATTCTTAAAAGTTAATCACTCACTGTTAGATTTATTCCAACCCCGCCAGTTTCCTCTACAAATTGGTTCCGATATAATTCCAATATTTATTCCAATTTTCATGAAATTTCTGTTCATCTTGGTCTCGTATTCTACCTGTTAGTCTAGCAAGCTTGGCATAGTTTACCATTTTGACCTGCCAATCCTTTATACTGGGTATGGTTTCCGTTTTCCAGTTTTGTGCCAACATAATTCTTGCGGCTGTGGTGGCATAAAGAAATATGTTCTTATCTTCTTTTCTAATTTCTTTACCCATCATTCCTAGCAGAAAGGCTTCAGGTCTTTTGGGAAAGGTGTATTTAAGTATTTTTTTAAGCTCGTTATAAATTAATTCCCAAAAGCCTTTCACTTTATTACATGACCACCACATGTGATAAAAGTCGCCTTCTGCGTCACCACATTTCCAACATCTTTTATTCTTTAACCTATACATTTTAGCCAATTTCACCGGCGTGTGATACCACCTATATATCATTTTCCAGATATTTTCCCTCAGTGCCATACACGCCGTAAACTTTATACTACTGTTCCACAGTTCCTCCCACCATTCAAAGTCAAGATTATGGCCGATGTCTATTGCCCATTTAATCATTGCCTCCTTCACCTCCTCGTCTTTTGTGTACCACTCCAGTAGCATATCATATATCCTGGACAGTATTTTATTTTTACCTTCAACTACCTCCACGTGGAACTTAGATTTTTTGTCTTCAAAACCCAGTTTCTTTTTATCTTCTTTTAACAAATCATTCACCTGGTGGTATTGCAACCAGCCAGTGAATAAGTTTTTTATCTCTTCGTAGGGTCTAAGTTTGTTCCCTTGTTCTGTTTTACTTATAAGTTCTTCATAGGTGGCATTCTTCTCTTCCATATTTGTTTTCCTAATCGTTAACACCTCTAATGGTGAGATCCACCAGGGAGTCTTCCTTTCCAGGAGATTTTTATTTCTCTCCCATACCTGGTATATTGGTTCCCTAAAAATATGATTTAGGAAGCCCCTATGAACCTTCACCTTTTCGTACCACAGGTACGAATGCCATCCGTACCTGTTATTTCCACTTTTGTATCTGGTCATCCTAATAATGTCTCCTGCTCAGATGTAGAGAGAGAGACAGCCTGAAGCATGATGGTATGTGTTTCTTGCAATTCAGAAGGAGCACAGAAAACCCCACAGAGTGTGGCATTATGCACAAAGGCCAGCTGCTTGCGAATCTCAGCTTTTATTTATTTGTTTTTAAAAACCCTAAAAACCCAAAGAACACTTAGCTTCTAGCTCAGTGTTGTGACCTGCCCTGAGATCTACAGGTATAGGGTGGTATGCAAATTAATAAATAATAAAAAATAATAATAGCTCCAATCTAACACTTGAAAGTATGCAAACAATGGGAACTGAAGAATCAGAAGCCAGAGGGATCACTGAATAATGCTTCCATCGGCTGCATCTGAGGGCTTTAGTCCCCCAGCAGAGCTCCTTGGCCTTCCTCATGGCGAGAACAAATTGTGCATTATTATTATTTATTTATTTTAAAAGTCACGCATATTGGTTTATTTGCATCATTTATACAGATCTTAGAACTTTTAGTGCAGAATTTAGGTTACCCTGCTGCAGAATATATTTCTTTTTTTAAAAAAGGTGTAGAGTGTAGTGGTACCTCGGTTACATACACTTCAGGTTACAGACTCCGCTAACTCAGAAATAGTACCTCAGATTAAGAACTTGGCTTCAGGATGAGAACAGAAATCGTGCTCCGGCGGTGCGGCAGCAGCAGGAGGCCCCATTAGCTAAAGTGGTTCTTCAGGTTAAGAACAGTTTCAGGTTAAGAACAGACCACCAGAATGAATTAAGTACTTAACCTGAGGTATCACTGTATGTTGCTCAAGCCTGAGGATTTCTCAGTCAGACAGGTGCTAACATACTCAATAATTCTTCCTAGCTGCTATCAAGGGAGAGAATTCAGAGAGCCCCACTGATGCTTTGCCTATGAGCAATTTTGAACAATTCAACATAAAAAAAGTTTTAGTAGAGACTTGCATGTAACATCAGCGGCACTTTTCACATGAGCCAGCCATGCCTTGGCTATTGGTAGCTCAGTATGATATGTAATGGCAGTCAAACCAGAGTCATCCCAGTTTAAATTCATGGCAATCATCTGCCCACCTGTCAGGTGTGGTCTATGGAGAACTGGACACAATTCAGAGCCTTACTAGCCCAGCTGCCGATCATCTTTTTGTCTCCTTCCTCTGTTTTAGGACAACTGTGTGCAACAGGACAGGCAGCAAGCCACAGAGCGTGAAGATTATTGATGTCCAGATTGAAATGGATCCCTCTCCAAGTGGCAGATACGATGCTCTTTGTGTGAAAGTTGAAGGTCAGCATTGGTGGACCACAGAAATAATCACTACGGCAAGCCAAATCAAATATTTTTTCTTGTTCTTTCTGAAATGTCCATTAACAGTTGGGAAGGAATAATTTGCCACGGGCATGAAATAGCATTGAAACAAATTGCCTCTTCTCAGCTGAGTGCAGGCTCTTGCTGGAATATTTGTCGTGTTCATAAAAAAAGAAAAGGAAATATAATCTAGAGGCAGAGAGGAGTCTCCAGCCCTACAACGCAGCAGTCGCTCACAGGCCAGCCTGTGTTCCAGATCACATTGTGGCACTAAGCAGAGAACAAGTGTGCTGTAGCAAAGGATTTATAGAACAAAACCCCCTGACGTTGTATCTGCATCTACTAAAAAAACAAAAAGAAACAATGCTCCAGCATAACATGAATTGCACATCATGCAGAGTTAGAATCGGTGACCTATATCAATTATGCAAATCTATTCATTTTGCATAATTGATTAAGCAAAGGAATACACAGGATATTGCATCTGAACCCCAGACGCTTGCAAATCCAACTCAGATGCCCCTTTCCCAACTTTTGAACTTCCATCAGGGATTGCCTGCATATCTTTAAGCAGCAAGAAACAGAAACTTTTAACATGAAAGGTGATATTTTTTCTGACCTGAATCCTGTGTTCATTACAGCCATTTCTGTGGCTTGCAAATGCTCCCTTGTCTGGTTGCCTGGAGGCAATTTCACAGGTAAATTGCATGACTGGTTGAAGAAAATCTACAGATTTTGCTAAACTCCTACTTTCATTGGAGCTTTTGGAAGTTGATAATTTCTGAAAACATCACCAATTGTAACGTACGTTTGGGTGACTAGACAGGCATAGTGAAATTGTTCTCTCAGCCTCACTTTGCATAAATACAGGGTACACCTATGTGCTTATTTACCGTATTTTTCGCCCCATAGGACGCACCGGCCCATAGGACGCATCAAGTTTTTTTGGGGGGAAATAAAGGGGAAAAAAATATTTCCCCCCCAGGCGCTTGTGGGGCCGGCAGCGGGGAGAAGCGCTCTTCTCCCCACAGCCCGCCTTGAGATCAGGTCCAGGGACAGCGGGGAGACGCGCTGCGCCTCCCAGCTGTCCCCGGAGCTTGCGGGGCAGGCAGCGGGGAGAAGCGCTCTTCTCCCCGCCGCCCGCCTTCAGATCAGGTCCGGGGACAGCGGGGAGATGCGCTGCGCCTCCCCACTGTCCCCGGAGCTTGCGGGGCTGGCGGCGGGGTCTCCCCGCCGTCAGCCTCCAAACCACCTCGGGAGACAGCGGGATGGCGGCGTTCCGCCTCCCTCTGATCCCTGACCTTGTGGGGCTGGCGCTGGGGCTCTCCTGAAGCCTGGAGAGCAAGAGGGTCGGTGCGCACCGACCCCTCTCACTCTCCAGGCTTCAGCGAAAGCCTGCATTCGCCCCTTAGGACGCACACACATTTCCCCTTCATTTTTGGAGGGGAAAAAGTGCGTCCTATAGGGCGAAAAATATGGTAAGTTTTATGTTTCCGGGATATGGAACTCCCTGCCACAATATCTCTGAGTTTCTTGATTCATTTTATTCTGTTCAACAAGTTTATAAACCACTTCACAGCATAAAGCCATAAAAATGGTGTACAGGGTAAAAACAGAATAAAGCACAGAAACTCTAAAAGCGATAAAATCAATCCAGCAAACTCTAAAAGCTCTTTGAGTTCATCAATACAAACTTTTCTCCTGGTTACAATAGGCTTAGTCATGAGATGGACACCAGCACAGAAGAAAGGTTGAACTAATATTGATTATTATAGGGATATTATGTACAAAAGGAAATACAGTGGTACCTTTGGTTGCGAACGGAATCCATTCCGGACCCCCGTTCGCAACCTGAGAAGAACGCATGTGCGGGTCGTGATTTGCCGCTTCTGCACATGCGTGTGATGTCATTTTGAGCGTCTCTGCATGCGTGAGCGGCAAAACCCAGAAGTAATCCGTTCTGTTACTTCCGGGTCACCGCGGGACGCAACCTGATAAGATTTAACCCAAAGCGTCTTTAACCCGAGGTATGACTGTACTAGGGAAGTGGGTGGTGCTGTGGGTTAAAACACAGGGCCTAGGACTTGCCGATCAGAAGGTTGGCGGTTCGAATCCCTGCAACGGGGTGAGCTCCCGTCGCTCGGTCCCTGCTCCTGCCAACCTAGCAGTTCGAAAGCACGTCAAAGTGCAAGTAGATAAATAGGTACCACTCCGGCGGGAAGGTAAACAGTGTTTCTGTGCGCTGCTCTGGTTTGCCAGAAGCGGCTTAGTCAAGCTGGCCACATGACCCGGAAGCTGTACGGCGGCTCCCTTAGCCAATAAAGTGAGATGAGCGCCGCAACCCCAGAGTCGGTCACAACTGGACCTAATGGTCAGGGGTCCCTTTACCTTTACCTTTACTATGACTGTACTAACATTTACATTTGAGTCTTAAATGTGCTTGATGACAGTTTATGAAGTCCCAAGAGTATCTGATTATCCCAAAACTCTCTCTCACAGGACAGCTAAGTCCCAACATCTAACTTTCTAACGTCTAACTGTCTAACTGACAGTTAACTGCCCTTCTTCCCTGACGAGAACTTCCAAGCCATCAGAGTCTGCTGTTTCCCAGAACAAACTAAATCCAGACTCCATCTATAAATCTTAAAAGTGGTTGTCTCTCCCCTTTCAGAATTTGTTGTACGTCTGCTAGCACCGAAGGAGAAAGCCAGGAGTGGGCATTTAGACTGAAGATACATTCTCACCTGCTCCTTAACTTTTCTGTATATATTTCCCCCTCTGTAATTGTTCTTAGAAAGAAACTTTGGAAAGACTTGTTGCACCGATCGCCTGAACTTTCCCTATTCCCTCTGTGTTTGAGTGATTCATTTGGCTGCAAGACAAACAAGTCTCTATTCCACAAGTTGACTGCAACTTGTTACCATTGCAGAAAATGCAGTGGTTTAGCCCAGGAATGGAAATTCGGATTTTGCCAGGTGAACGTCTGGCACAAATTCCTCATCAAAAAATGACGGATTATGTAACCTGGCCTTCTCTTAGCAACAAAAGAGGTGGGGGGAGAATCACCAGGGGCTTTTAAATACAAACATAAACCACATGAATTTAGGCTAAAATAGCAAACAGAACCGAGTTTGTTCTGTACAATGCTAGACTGTTCATAAGGCTTTCCCATGACAGCTTTCGTTTCTGCAATTTTTATTTTCTCCCGCCGATTTTGAGCATTGAGTTTAGCGGACAGTGAATTTCCAGTTATCTAGTAACATCAAGTAAAGTCATAAATTAAGTTATTCGAACTAGCCCTAGATTGATTTTGTCATCAGTGGTATACGAGATGAGCTTTATTTGTCTGGACTTGCACTTTGGAGGAGTTTATCTCCCAAGATGTCATCACCTACAAAAATCTGTGAAACCCCACTTCTCCCAGGTTTCATTTCCTATTTAAAAAAATAAGATGAAAATGTGCTGTAGAGTATACAAATGGGACCTGAAACAAAAGATTGCAGCACAGAGTCTGCTGAGTCAGGCATTTTAGTCATTAGTCATTTTAGTCCCTTTTGGGACGCGGGTGGCGCTGTGGGTAAAAGCCTCAGCGCCTAGGGCTTGCCAATCGAAAGGTCGGCGGTTCGAATCCCCGCAGTGGGGTGCGCTCCTGTTGCTCGGTCCCAGCACCTGCCAACCTAGCAGTTCGAAAGCACCCCCAGGTGCAAGTAGATAAATAGGGACCGCTTACTAGCGAGAAGGTAAACGGCGTTCCGTGTGCGGCTCTGGCTCGCCAGAGCAGCTTGGTCACGCTGGCCACATGACCTGGAAGTGTCTCCGGACAGCGCTGGCCCCCGGCCTCTTAAGTGAGATGGGCGCACAACCCTAGAGTCTGTCAAGACTGGCCCGTATGGGCAGGGGTACCTTTACCTTTACCTAGTCCCTTTTACACCCCCCAAGCCCTTCAGCTAACCAGATACTTAAATGTGTTTGCTTCCTGCTTGTTTATCTCCTCAGGCAAACCATGTGGAGACCCCCCTTCCTTTCCTCACACAGTTCTCCACGGCCACACCGGGTTTGAAATGGGTGACGAGCTGCACTATGTCTGTGCTCAGGGATATGTCATGAGTAACAAAGATGCTGCTTTTACTCTGCTCTGTCACACCTGTGGGGAATGGTTTGGTCAAGTCCAAGCTTGTGTCAAAGGTGAGTTCTATCGATTCAGGATTATCATATCTTAATTTTTTTTATTGTACTTCAATGTCCTAATGCAAACTTGCAGTGGATCTCCACGTACAGCGTTATCAAACGGGAGCTGATGACAATGTACATAGTCCATATACAAATTTCTATTATTATTATTATTATTATTATTATTATTATTATTATTCCCCCGCCCATCTGGCTGAGTTTCCCCAGCAACTCTGGGCAGCTTAAAAAACATAATAAAAACATCAAGCATTAAAAACCTCCCAATACTGGGCTGCCTTCGAGGTCTTCTAAAAGTTGTGCAATTCTTTATCTCCTTGACATCTGGAGGGCATTCCACAGGGAGGGTGATCATTGTTGAAGAAATAAAGACATGAAATAAAACTAAAACAGATAAACCACAGGTATGTGAATACAGTGGTCCCTTGGTTTTTGAACCTAATCCGTTCCGGAAGACCATTCAAGTTCTCAAACATTCAAAAACCAAAAACTCAATAACCAACAGCTAGCCCTGAGGATCTTGCACTCAGTGAAAGCTGCGTGGCATGTTTGACTTTTGAGGCATGTTCGAAAACCAAAGCATTTACTTCTGGGTTTACAGCGTTTGAAAGTTGAAATGTTTGTCAATGGAGACGTTCGAAAACCGAGGTACCACTATATATGCAAGATAGAGACTAAAATTGTATATACCATAGACATAATGTCTCCTGAAGTTGTTAAACTACAAATGCCCATTGTCCCTGACCATTGGTCACCCTAGCTGGGGCTGATGGGATTCTAAGTCCAACAACATCTAGAAGGTTATATGTTTCTGGATCCCTGCTATACATGCTGGGGGTCCTGTCCTCTGTCCTCTCTAAGGGCTGGGCAAATGAGCCAGAAACCTGGTGTTCAAGGCTGCAACCCATGTTAGAAACCATATGCTGGGGAAAGAAGACAAGACAGCCTATTCTAGACACTGCAGAGGGCTTCCCCTGTGTTGTGATGGTCAACTAGTCTCAGTAGTTATTTACACCTTAACCATGGCTCAAGCTTTCTCTTTTAACAAGTGATCTTTAGGACAGTATAATCACGTAGCATCCAAGTAACTATAAAGGGGCAACGTGAAGAGGACTCTAGTATGTTGTCTCACGCAGAAAGGTGAGTCCCTGTTAGCATTTGTGAGAAACAATGACACTTGCAAGTGAAATAACAGATCTTGACATGAGATATGGATTGCGCCAGCTCGCCACTGTGCGCTGAAAAGCATCATCATGCAAAACACAGCTGAGCTGGACCACCCTTAAGCAGCTGAAAGCCCTAGTGTGGAGAAGGTATTCTGTCTCTTGACAGATGATATCTGATGTTTCCATCAGTGATGTCCTGGGTGCTTAGTTCACTGACACACTGCTGTATAGTGAACCCTCTCTAACTGGTTGGGCAGTGTGTTATTTCCAGAACGCAGTCGCTAGGCTCAAGCCAAATGCCTCATGCGTCACAAGTTGCGAAGCAATAATACAGGTTCTTGGAGCAGTTTCCTTGACAAACGACAGTTAGAGGGTATCCAGAACATTTCTATATTAGGTAGCGGAGGAACACAGCTCTGGGAAGGAGGAAATTAAAAAGGGAGCAGAAAGAGTTTGGAGAAGAGATTGTATAATTGATCCTGAATATAAAATATATAGTGTGCAAGGGAAAATTTGAGGACAAGGCGTGAATGAATAAGGGGCAAGATATTATTTTGGATCTGCCATGTTGTCCTCATATAGGTGTCAGGATGCAGGGCTGTCTTACCCATAGGCACTAGGGGTGCGGGGCACCCAGGCGCCAGGCTCTTAGGGGCACCAGGCCGAGTCTGGGGCCTGAGAGTTGAGTCTGGGGAAGAACCCGCCCATTGGTCGGAGCACGCTCTTCTGCTGTGGGTGGCTCTGTGCTGTGAGTTTGGGGGCGACTGAGCCAGCGAGATGCTGAGGTTTCTGCTGCCAAAATAGCTCCTCCTTCATGGCCTGGGTAGGCCGGGTCTTCCTGTTATATACCTGCTGGGATTGACAAGGCATATGACCCTCACCTGAATCTCATTTAACTCTTTGGGGGGAAATTAGCATCAGGTGTCATGTGCATGGAAGTTGCCAAATCAATTAACCAACTAGGGTTACTGTTAATAGCACCAGTTTTCCTATAACTTGATATTGCTGGATAGTTCTGCTGAACTGCAAAAGCATTTTTAGTTTGCTTTCTGTTGCCACCCTGGAACTTTTCTTTATTAGTGCCACTTTGTTTTGTATGATTCCTTGCAAATGAAGGAAAATAACTTTTCTCCTTATATATGTTGATAATATGTTTTTGGTTACTGAGAACAAACAAGAGTGTACAGAAACAAGATTGGGTGCAGGCCTGGCCAGGACATAGGCGTGACGCACCTGTGACACAGGTGACCTGTGTGCTTGTTTGCTTGACTAACAGCTGTTGGGAACTTAAAGGTCCCTGCTCTCCCTTCTTATGGTCTTTATATTGGACCTGGAGACTCCAATAGAGAGCATTCCATGTCAAGAAGGAGGGCAAATGGGCACCCTATCAAATGACAAGGCAGGAGCTACATGGAGCAGGGCCTTTTCACTGTGGTGCCCATTGTATGGCTCGCTCTTTCTAGACCTGCTCTCTTTTGGCCTGTATTTTGGAGCTTTACAATCTAGGTAGACTTTGGAATAACAGGTTGACAAGTCTTATCAGTTGCTGATGTATGAGCGGATTTTATTTGCTAAATATTTGCTGTTATTCTGGGTTCCTGGTGCACCAGGGTTTACACCAGCATAATAGAGTTGGCCAGGACGAACGAAGGGATACAATTTATGAGCTTTCTCTATTATCTGCACAGCAGGGGGTGTTCTGTCAACAGTGCAAAGGCTGAACTGAAGCGTTTACTGCTGGTTACCTGCTTTCAGCAATAGGGGTCGCTGTTTGGTAGTACCCAATTGGTTAGCTGTCAGATTCTAAAGCTTTCTTAAAAAAACCAAAAAAAAACCACGATCTGCTTTTTGCCCCTGGGCAATTTGGCTCCAAGGACCACACATTTGCTCCATAAGACACACAGACATTTCCCCTTACTTTTTAGGAGGAAAAAAGTGCATGTTATGGAGCGAAAAATACGGTACCTTACCCTTGATGGACTGAGTTGATTATGTTTTATTGTTAGTGTACTGACAAAGCTTCCTGTTGGGGTGGGAGTATTGCTCTGAATTATAAAAATATTCATGTTTTATATGGCTAGTCTTTTTCCTTTATGGTAATTTTTTTTATGCAAATTGCGCCGATACCTTCTGAGGTAACCAACGGCTAAATCATCATCAGAATCAACATCACAACAACAATTTCCACCTCTTGCTGCCATCCCCAACATTTCCAGTATTGAGTAAAGTATTTGTTACATTCAGAGTAAAGAAAGGATGAGTCCCTGGCAGCTACTTGAGTTACAGCCTAGAGTGAAATCTGGCTGGCATAGTTTCACGCTGCTTTTATATAATACCTCAGTGAGATTTTAATAGGGGTGAACATGTGGAGGTTATTCAGAATTGTCTCTGAACTCTGACATTCTCCCTAGCACCTCAAAGCAGGCAATACTTGTTGAGAAGGGCTGAGTTAGTCATTCCACTTAGCGGTCTAATAGCCCTTTAAATTAGATTTATGTAATTATGAAAGCAATTTTTAGTCCTGTTTCCTGTCTTTTGCTCTGGAAGTCTGTGGCTTCAAAAATAGTAGGCCAAATCTGTAGGTTTTGGCCTCAGCAGAACCAAATCAACATATGCCAGCTAAGAAATGACCTTATAAAGCCACATCCTGATACCAGCATTTATTTCTAAGAAACATAAAAATAACTTAATCCAAATGGTACAGTGACTAGACTTGCAGACACAATAACTTTCATAAGAGTTCCTTTGCTTTCCCTTCTATTTCTGTTACGGTGCACAATGCTGTTCAATCGCTAAAGTCTAGGATTGAAAGAGTATATTTTAGAATTTCCTTGTCAACATCACTGTGTTTTTTCTAAAGTATCAGACATCTAAAAAGTTATTTCTGGCAGAACTTTCTGTCTTCTTCAGGGGGAAAAAATTATGGTAGCCGTGATACAACCAAGACAAGTAAAACAGAACAAGCCTTACAGTTTGGAAAGGAATGAAAGTGTGCATTTGTTAGAATGGTTGCTTCAGGATATAAGACGCTTGGAGAGTTTATTGGACTAGAATGTTTCAGGTTAACAGGAAAAAAAGAGAGAGGGACCACAATAAAAATCCTATTTTTGGTTGTTCCAGGGTTAATCACAACTGCAAAGCTCATTATTAATTCTGTTCTGTATGAGTTCTACTTCCCAGATATGAAATTCAGCAAACAAACTATGGGTTGTATCCAATTAAATTATATTCAAAGTAGACCCGTTGAAATTAATGGACTAAATTAGTCATGTCTGTTATTTTCTGTGGGTCTACTAAGACTAACATTAAATCCTCTGAATTTATGTTTTATTCACACTTATATACTTTTATATTGCTATTCTGGTTTTAGGTTGTGTTTTTGCTTTAAGGTTTCCATTGTATGATGTTTGTTTTTTGGACTATACCATGCCAAAAGCACTGTACAATTGTGGGTTTTGTTTTTCAAACGTCCGGCAAATAAAGACTGGAAAGACTGGGGAAATGGTGTTGTGGGATGAAAATAAAGCACAGCTCAGGGTCTGGTTACAAGGACACAGAAACAATTACTTATTACTTGAGATATTTTGATCATGAAGCAGTTACTGGGTGTTAGCCTGCCTGGTTTCTATCACCCAGGCTAGATTTCTTTCAGACACTGGCTCTTCCTTTCACAGCAGTCAAATTCCTTGATCATTTCTGTGATCACAAAATGGTAGAGCCTCTATGAAAGATCATGGCAGACCAGAGATGTAATCTGAACAAGGGACCTCCTCCAGCTGACCTATTTATTGAGCATTCATCCAGATATATGCACAACTTACTGTCTTGTGAACTGCAATGAAATGGGAGAGTTATTGCCAGTGCTTTTTTCTGGGGGTACACAAGGGTACGCATACCCCTAAACATTTTGTGAATCTAACGGGAGAAGAAACTTAAAATCTTTAGTTTCTTCTCTGGCACAGTGAATCGTCAGTTCTGTTGCTACCATCAATGGCGGCCTCATTTCCTTTCCCAGTCTTTCCTGAGTCTCAGACGGAAGCGAGCGTTTAATGTGTGAAGCAGTGTGGAATGTGGATGGTTGGTGTTTCACTGATGAAAGCTCACCCTCATTGAGGGGCAGTATTTCAATATGAGTAGGAAAATTACTAACTAGTTTTCATCATCATGAGGTAATACATGTTGTTTGTACTACGTCCATTTACTGTATTTATTTCACCCGATTTGAACTATAAAATGGTGATTTCCTTGAGTCAAAATGAGAGTACCCCTAAACATTTTTTTAAAGAAAAAAAGCACTGGTTATTGCCAATTCAGATGGAGGTCTCATCTAGATGACTCTGGGATGCACATCACTTTATCCATAACAGTTTACAAGCAAAGCGCATCACACTCAGTATTTCACTGATATTTACTACTAAATGCAAAAATGTCTGGAGTAAATGAAGTGCAACCATCCTAGTACAAATCCTACCCGCATTTTTTCCTTGCAAGACAAGGCAGGAGCCAGAAAAACCCCATACTGCCAGAGTGGTATATCCCTAGCATAAAAAGGTAAAGGTAAAAGACCCCTGACAGTTAAGTCCAGTCGTGAACGACTCTGGGGTTGCGGCGCTCATCTCGCTTTACTAGCCGAGGGAGCCGTTTGTCCGCAGACAGTTTTTCCGGGTCATGTGGCCAGCATGACTAAGCTGCTTCTGGCGAAACCAGAGCAGCGCACGGAAACGCCGTTTACCTTCCCGCAGGAGCGGTACCTATTTATCTACTTGCACTTTGACATGCTTTCGAACTGCTAGGTTGGCAGGAGCTGGGACAGAGCAATGGGAGCTCATGCTGTCGCCGGGATTTGAACTGCCAACCTTCTGATTGGCAAGCTCAGTGGTTTAGACCACAGTGCCACCCACATCCCTCACATCCCTAGCATAAAAGGATACTAATTCCCCTTCCTCTCCTGTCATCCCTCTGGGATGGTGAAGAGGAGAACCCTCTGGGCAGGATCACATAAATGCCAGCTGGAAAACTGTAAGCAAAGATGTTTAATACTCTCTGCACATGTCTTCTGTTTGACCTTTTTCGACAAATCCGGATCAATAGATGAAAAAAGAACAAGCGAGATGAAAAAGAATAAGTTAGAAGTTATATGGTAATTATTAAGATGAGTTGTAATATTAATTAGGAGGGAAACAGACTGGATAAGAAAACACTTGTGGGGAAAAGAAGGGATTGAAAGCATACTATTCCTGCTGCCTAAATAAGTTACATAACTCCTACAGGCTTTTGGTTTGGTGCTTGTGCATTTTAGTTCAGAGACCTGATTTTACAGTTGAGTTCTGGGGATAATTTGGCACTTGGAATAACATTTAGAAAGTAGGCTTTGGAGACAAAGGACAACCTGGAAATAGCAGCAGGGAATGGACACTTTCCGCTATCCTCCTCCCAGAGCATTCATCTGCCCCCACAGCTTTTCCATCATCAGGAAAAGCCAGGAGATGCAAACAGTCCAATTGTACATGTGAGAAGATGTCCCTGGGCCTAAGCCAACTAGCACTACCTGGCCCTGGGTGTTTCATGAATGCCAGAAACTGCATTACCTTTCGCTCGTTTCGCTTGTCTAAAAGTGACTATTCAACCATCCTACCATACTCACTAATGCAGACCCAGAATCATAGAATTGTGGAATTGAAAGGGACCCCAAGGGTCTTCGAGTCCAATCCCCTGCGATGCAAGAATCTCAACAAGATCATACACGACAGATAGCCATCCAACCTCAGCTTAAAAACCTCTGAGGAAGGAGAGCCCACCACCTTCTGAGGGAAGTCCATTGAACTGTTGAACAGCTCTGACTGTCAGAAAGTTCTTCCTGATGTTTAGTCTCCTTTCTTGTAACTTGGATCTGTTGGTTTGGGTCCTAGTCTCTGAAGCAGAAGCACCTCAGTTGTGATTCAGTCCTACTTCTGGTTTCACCTCCTGTGCCATATAAGGCATTGCCTGTCTATTCAGGACCACATTTCATAACACTGGGTTGCTAGGTAGCACACATGTTGGGGGGAGGGGCTGGGGCATTGTTCCCTATGGAACCTTCCAAGAGCAGCAGTTGAAACAGACATATCAGTAGGCATATGTGAGACCTGGAGAAAGGACACTTCACATCATTTTCTACCCACAGCCTTCATAAGCCTTCAAAAATAAATTTATTCTGTTATGATGTGAGCTGGTGAAAGAGCTTTGTGATAATCTGGTGCCAGAAACCCCGCCCCCTTAAATTGTTATTTTGCCTTTTCAGATGAAACTGAGGGACATATCGATTATGAAGACAATTTCCCCGATGACCGATCTATTTCTACCGAAGAACATGAACACAATGCCAAAGAGGCAGAGGAGAAGGGAAATGAGCAAGAGAAAGCCACCCAGGATGAGAAGAAGACCCAGTTTGCTGACGACGACAACCACATTGGCGTGAAAACTGCATATAACAAGAAAGGCCCCAAAATGATATATGAAGGTGAGGACTTCCCCATTGGACCTGCCATTGTGAACAATGATACAAAAGCAACAAAAAGTACAGACTCTCATACAGATGAGTCCTGGCTAGATGGTTACCCAGTTACTCAAGAAGCTGTAGAAGAAATCGACGAGGAGGAAGGGGATAAGATTGATGGATCTATGGGAATGGAATATGACATTACCACTGACCAACTGAACCATGCTGATGTCAGGAAGACAGGCAGCAGCCCAGAAAAGGTTTTTGTGCAGGCTGGGACAGTCCAGTCACTGACACACTCTGGTGGGACTCTAACACCAACCATTGTTCCAGAGAATGTCAGTGTAAGCAAAGATGACAACACCAGGTATGTCTCAATGACACCTATGAGACTCATCACACAAGAGTTGTCATCCGTAACCACAGCCACAAGCTTGAATTTGGCCACACTGGAGACTTCTACAGTTTTCCATCTCATTGACCCCATTCCCTTGCCAGAGGAAGTCGATCTGATGACTTCCTCCATGCAAGTAGTTACTACTATACCTTCTCAAAATAGCTTTACTGATACACCAGATGTTGTTGAGGGAGAAGCTTTGACCTATGGACTTGGTGGGAAGCCTTTGAGCACTTTTGAACCATGTGCGGGAGCAAGTTGTTCCAGTTCTGATAAAGATCCCATGATAGCCATTGGGGTGACTGTTGTATGCCTAATTGTGCTTGCGTTGATCTTGGCAGTGTGGTGCTTCAAGAAACGGCAACAGAAGACCTCTGTTTATAAGCTGAATGGGAAAGATCATGCTAGGCACCAGCTGCAACAGATTGAAATGCAGAAAGTCTAACCTAGCTGTATACATTATTATTGGAAAGAAATGCATGGAGGAGACATGGAAACTGACTGAACAAATGGATACTAATGTCCACTAGTTCAGAAAGAAGACCTGTGTATGGAACAGCAGGACCTGCACTAACTGAAATCACAACTTATTGTGATATCGGGATTAATTTGAATATCTATATTTTTTAACCACCTTGAGGATTGCCAGGGCTGATTCACAGAAGCATATTTTATCACTTGATGACTGTACATATAAGGCAGTGACTTGGTTTTCTGAAATCGGTAGTCTGTGACAGACATGATGGACAGCGTTTTCTTATGGGTGTGTAGTGCCTATCCTAGATGCAAGCTAGTCAAGTGGCAAGACCATCATCTGACAACTGACACATCAAATCCCTTAAGATGGCAGGATGGACTTACAGTACCTGCTTCTTGCATTAAAAATGTCAATGCAATTATTCTCTCTGCTGTGTTAAAACGGGTCACACAGCCCAATGACACATTTGAAAGAAGCTCTGTAGAACAGGGAGATAATCTGTGTGCAAAGTGGAGGGGATTTTTTAAAAACTATTTGTCATTTTTAAGGTAAGGATAAATTAACACATAGACAGTTGTTACTTGTCATGTTCTATGGATTTACAGATAGAATTTTTCTATCTGCATTGTTTGACCACTGCTCCAGTTTATTTCAGTGGATTTGTACTATAGCAGCTCTCCCCTTCAATGGATTAACTGTGTGTAGGAGGCTGATCACAATGGACTGTTAGCTAGAAACATGACATTATTGAGCCGTTTGGATTTTATTAGTTGTTTTAATAGCTAGAAAAAAGAGCCCTTTTTCGATCTGTAGGAGAGTGTAGACACAGCGAGGATCATGTTTGAATGGACTTTAATCAATGATATACAACTAGAAATCATTAATGTTTAAAAATAAAGCAACATTGTCAATATTCCACCCAGGCCTCTTGGACTCTGTAGAAGTGCTCTCTTAAGAAGTAGACAGAAGATCTCACACCACTTTGCCTGCAAACTATCAAAGACTATTTAGGGTTTTCTTTTCCTCCTAGGGCAATGCAATCTTTGCAATGAAATTGGGTGTCTAATAAATTAATTAATTATGCAGCCAACAGCGCATGGTCTTTGGGAGTGCACTTGCCATCTTACTTCATAGAAAGTGAAAACTTCCATTCTTTAGTGGGTCGGTTTAGAGTGGGCGAAGTTCTGATGTAGACAACATACATATCTGTTGCTAAAGATGCCGTACCATGACAGACTAAAGATGGGTTCAAAAGTCACACCATGACTAAGGCAGCAATCCGAACAACATTTACTGGGGATGGGTGGCGCTGTGGGTTAAACCACAGAGCCTAGGGCTTGCTGATCAGAAGGTCGGCGGTTCGAATCCCCGCAACAGGGTGAGCTCCTGTTGCTCGGTCCCTGCTCCTGCCAACCTAGCAGTTCGAAAGCACGGCAAAGTGCAAGTAGATAAATAGGTTCCGCTCCAGCGGGAAGGTAAACGGCGTTTCCGTGCGCTGCTCTGGTTCGCCAGAAGCGGCTTAGTCATGCTGGCCACATGACCTGGAAGCTGTACACCGGCTCCCTCGGCCAATAAAGCGAGATAAGTGCCGCAACCCCAGAGTCAGTCACAACTGGACCTAATGGTGAGGGGTCCCTTTACCCTTTACTTTACCTTAAGCCCTGCTGAATTCAGTAGGACTAACATCTGAGTAGACATGGTTAGGCTCATGCTGCAAGTCATTATTTCCCCTAATATATTGATGCCTATTATAAGGCACCAACAAAATGCCCAAGAAAATGAAGCTGAACCCACTTCTGAAAGCATATACTAGTGCCCATTATTAATATGCAGTTACCCGCAGCTGCAAATGCAGCAATACATAAATGGTTCTGTGAATGTTATGTGTGAATGCACAAAAAGAACAAAAATATTTTCGGTATGGTGACTGCATGCATGGCCAATTCTACCATTTCATCTAGCAGAAGACATTGGGCGGGGGCTGGGAGTTTCTACTACTAATTTGGGAATGTTTTCAGCATGATATTCAAATAAAAATTATTAATATACTCTTATGTTTCTTAAATGTCTGTCATTGTAAATTATTCTATTGTCCTGCACTGACTTCGCAAAAAAAAACTCCATTTTGTTTGGTAACTGATCTAAACAGTTTTACTCTACCTTGCCGTGAAGGAATGCAACAAACCTGAGCCCATTGCAAATTTTTACTTAATTAGATAGATGAAATATTGTGACTGACTGTGAGGAATGTTCCAAAGTGAGGAAGTGTTTGGGAGAGCCTCTCACTTTCGTTCTCGGCCTGCCATTCAATTTCAATATTGTTCCAAGTATTTCTGAAGCAATGCCATGCAATTAACATCAAGACCTCTAAAATCTATATGCTTGCTACAATCTTGGGAGATTTCCAGGCTGCAGACTGCAGAATGAAAATAACACTGCAACCTTAAATAGGTCAACTCGGAAGTAAGACCCACTGAGTTAAAGGAAAGTGCGTATGTTAGACCCTAAGTCTCATATACTTGGATAACTCCATATGACACAGATGACAATGAAGACATACGCTTGGGGAAGAAGGCTTTTGATTGTGGCCAACATACGAAGCTGGTATGAAATCATACTGCTTAAATTGATTTAAACTTGTCCTGTGATTTAACAGGAAATGCTCTGGGCTTTAAATTAAGATACCCAACTCTGCATCATGTTCTTAAATGAAATAATGCTCACTAAAACTCTTTTAATATTATGCTCCCGCAATGAGAATGTCAAAAATAAATGGAAATATATTTTGCGCAAATTGTACAGTATTCTTCGACAAAATTCTTTGTATTACTCACCAAAAGGCCAAAGAGATATATTAACAGGAAGCTTATAAAAAAATGCAAATAAATGAGCAAGAAAGGGAAATGGTCATGTTTATATGCATATACTGTGTGTTTTCAACAAAACCAAAACAAAATGATTGTGGAAATACCAATCTTTCCTTCAAATCTGTTGTTCAGAAAGAAATGAAGGAGCATTATTATGATTAGATGATTAGCTGGTTCCATTTATAGTATTTTTGCATCTGTTTATATCTTGTACCCAGAATGTTGTTTGTTTATCTGTGAATTGCTTATTAGGAAGCTATTAACAAAAGGATAGCCAAGGTTCCTTAAACCAAGGTTAAGGAAAGGTGCTGGATTTGTACCCTACGCCAAACCATAGTTACAAGAAACCAAGGTCCATAAACCAACAACAAATTATGGCTTTTGACTGTGGTTTGTTGGTCATAAACAAACCATTGCTAAGATACTGGGCAGGTTTGTTGGTCATAAACAAACCATTGCTAAGATACTGGGCAGGGTGAGGGTGGTTAAACAAACCATGGTTTAATAAACTACAGCTTAGCATTATGGGTTAACTAGGCCAATTATAGTGGATAAATTGCCCTAAAAGAACATGTTATGATGTACCCTGGGCATGAAATGCTTATCCAAAGTCTAATTCACACAGACATGCATGTTGCTTTGCATTTGTATATTAATTACATAATAAGCAGTTGAATGTATGAACTGACGTCACTGAAAAGCCTAGGAAACGTCAGATCACATCCAGCAACTCCCTACATATCTCTGCTGGGAAACTGTTCCCTGTTCATTGTTTAGAAGTACACTGAAGGTTTCCACAGAATGCTCACAGAAAGATGTCGAGTTGAAAATTGTGCCGTTTCTCACAAGTTTTCAAAAACGCATGTACTTGATAAGCTCACAAATTCCACGCCACAAGCACAACAGCAATTTAAAATGCTATTTGCGGAAACTAAAATATTCCCAGATACAATATATTGCTCTTGTTTCCTGACATCTGGATCGCCATCCGTTTTTATTACTGTTAATTGGTTGATTTGTACCAATCACTCTTATTCTTTATGGTCAGAATGATTGTCACTGCATGTTCCATAATATTATTCTCACTTTTTAAGTTTTGACGACGACTGCTAAGCTGCATCAGTATTCCAGTGGTCTGCTCTTCCAAATTTTCTGGTGCGCAATCTTCCACCATTTGTGCTTTTCTTGAGCACTTACTAATAGTGGTATATGATTAAATTTATTACATTGTGGAATGTCATGATCAGTATGTGTGCTTCTTCCATGGGAAGCCACAAAGAAAGAAACTGGCTAAGTTTAAAAGGCAAATTAAATACTGTGTTCAAACATGCATTTTTAAAAATATAAACTGTAATTTCATTGCTCTGTAAAAAAGAAGTAGTGAAAAATACACTGTGTTAACCATTTAATGTGTTGGTGTACCTAAAAGCTGCATCAAAGTGAATGTGGGGAGTATAGTTGTGGGGCAAGGGAAGTAAATTAAGGCTTAAACATAACCATATACGCATCCTAATCTAACAAATAGATTTATGCTTAAACGTCAGAAAATACACATTTGGTTTCTGTACACTTGAACTGACTCCAGAACAGAGAAGTGAAAGGTATTAAAACCTCTCTAGGTTGGGGTAAGGTAATTAAAATTTAAAAAAACCCAGCTCCTTACTTAAAAGCTGCTTATTTATTTTAATACTTTGACTGAAGGCACTGAAGACAGTTGATGCCGAATGCCGGTTTGCTGGGATGTGAGCTGTGATTTACAAAACTCCTTAGATGATTTCTTGACTTGGCTTTTCTTTAGCATGTAGCTTAAAATTCCCCACACTAGGTCATTCAGCCCTCAAGCCACCAGAAAAATGAAGTTGCTGTTTAAAGGATGGCAGGCAACCAAGAGTTCAGACAGTTGCTATGAAGGATTAGTTGTGGGTTTTTCTCGCTGCCCTGCTACAAATGGCATCACAGCTCTATGTTCAAACATTATTAAATGAGAATGTTTTCTCTGGCACAATCTGCTTCTCCCTACAGTTTATGCATTGAGATATATATATATATATATATATATAGAGAGAGAGAGAGAGAGAGAGAGAGAGAGAGAGAGAGAGCAGCTTTACTTATAGCATACATTAAAACTTAAAATACATTTCCATCATACATTGCACTTCAGCTGTTTCGTCTCTTATTTTTATTCCTTTAAGTTGTAACTTACACAAAATGGTGGGGGTGAATCGCCCCAGCATGAGGGGTGTGTTGAATTTTTCAACTTCCAAAAATGAGGGGTGCTAAGACTGGCCGTACGGGCAGGGGTACCTTTTTAATATAATTTAGTCTCCTTGGTAAGTAAAACGTTTGTAAAATTGCACAGAAATAATTTAAAATCATTGCCAAATACTTGTGGTTATATTACATTATATATTAATATTTATATATTGTTACGATTTAGCATTACCCAGCAGTTTCAGAAGGTAAAATTTAAATTCTTTGGTTTTTCTGAAAGCGGTTTATGTACTTCTTCATCAAACGTAGACTGGCCAAGCTAAATGTTGCCCAATCACAAAATTAAGAGCAGATTTGAATTCCTCACCCCATCGCGTGGATTCGAACCGCCGACCTTCCGATCAGCAAGCTCAAGAGGCTCAGTGGTTTAGACCACAGCACCACCTGTGTCACTACACTCAAAAACATATTTTTGAGAAATCTGCAAAAATTAAGTTCCACCCCCTAAAATGACACAGCCTATCAGCATCCCCAATCTCTGATGGAGCCCAGTTTATAATATGAAGGAATTCACCGTCCGCTACAACACCACAAACAGACACTCCTGTAAGAATGCAGGATTTAGGTGGCAATGGGTTCAAGTTTCCAGCATCATGTTTTTAAGTTTCTTCAGCAATCATTGTGACACCCAGGACTCAGCTATACAGCTGCAAATAAAACACTTTAAGTGTGTTTTAAGTGCGATATACAATCTGACACTAGATGGCGATGATGAGCCTTATGGAAAATTCAATGTATTTTTAAAAAAACGCTTTAAAAGAAGCATTTTCAGAACAGT